GTGTATGACATACTTTTGCTACATAATAAGCCAGAGTTAGGGTCAAATCTTTGATAAGGAAATGTTACAGAAATCACTCATGATCTTGGTCTATTAGTGCTTTCTTCAAGGCCTTAGCCAACCAAGGATAAATAACAGATGTCACTTCCTTACAGATAATGCCATTAAACTGTAAAGTACCTGAGAGCAAAAGCCACATGTTACAATTCTCTGTGTTCTTTTATCTTCCTAGAATCCTTAGCAGCGGTGGCCACTCCTGTTTGCATTTTCTATAGTCCTTATCAGAAAAGGCATTCAAATGCTTTTTAACTGATTTAAAACATCTACTGGTATATGGAAAACAGAAAAAGCCCTCTTTTGTGCTATAGAAAATAGTGCTGAAAATTATAATTAAATCATCTACATAAATCCAACTGACACGTTTTGAAGAGAAAAATAACAATCTCTCTAATGAAATTAAAACTCCTTAGTTTGACTTTCCAAGACCTCCACTAAAAGACACACTATTGTCAATAAATCTCCTTTCACATTACTCTACAAGACTTGTTTGTAATTAGATAATCTGTTGTTATTGCCAAAGTCAATTCTGACAACATTCAGTAATACAATCAAATGTATTGCTCATCCCCAATTGATCTACAGATGTAAAGCAATCAATGTCAAAATCCCAGCTGTTCTTTTCTTTTTTGCAGAAATTAACACCCTGATCCTAAAATTCTCGTGGAAATGTGAGGGACCCAGACCACCAGATCAATCTTGAAAAAGATCATAGGTAAAGGATTCACAGTGCCCAATTTCAAAACTTTACATAGACATATAACATATAACATGGATTCAATCTAATTGAGAGTTCAGAAATAAACCTTTACATTTACAGTTGATAGATTTTTTAACAAGAGTATCAAGACAATCCATTGGGGGAAGGAATAGTCTATTCAAATGGTGCTGGGAAAACTGTCCACATGCCAAAAATGTACAATATATAATACACATCAAAAAAATGGATCAGTAACCTAAATGTAAGAACTAAAACTATAAAACTCTTTTTTTTTTTTTTGA